TTAACAACAAGAACAGTTTTTTGGTATGTATTAGTTTCTTCTGCAAGGATATCCGTGTTTCATCGTATCCCAGGTAGATAATTATAGTTCTTTTCAAAAACTGAAAAAAAAGAAGATATTATATATATATCAGGAGACTGAGTATTATATTTATTAGTTATTTATCTGATACATACGCACACTCATGCGATCATCTAAACTTAACTGATATAACATTTGTACTATTTACGAAGGTTTTTCTGAATTTTATTCAATTATCATCTAGTATAATCATGTACTAACAGATAGTTTGTTTGATATCAATTTCAGCTTTTCTATACAAGAATAAATCCATTGAACTTCTCTTTATTCACAAGACATGGAAAAATCAGTATAGCAGTTTCTTTTCAAATATTTCCGCAAAGATAAATGATTGAATTATAACTCTATTCTGTCCCATCTTTAAATGCGATTGTAAGGATTTTCTCTTGTTATCTATATGGTTATATGGATCTTCTCATTATTCTTTTCTTTGCTAGTTATACGTCATGAATTTTTACTTTCGTGTTTCAGTGCAGATATGATTTTCTCGAATATGATTTGACTACAGTTCGGTGAAAAAAATATGAAAAGAGAGATTGTTCAAAATGGACTGTTATTTTACTGTTCTACAAAGATCTTGAGAGTGAGTGAGTATGAATATGAGTGTGAGTGTGAGTAGTAAGAGAAGATGCCCACACCCACACCCACACCCACACCTGAATTACATATAGCGTTGTTTACTTTTATAAAATAATATATTACTATAAGAAGATTTATTTTTGGATTATTTTTAGTACATAATTGTTCATCATGTATATAAAATTCTTATTCTATTAGTTAGTCGATCAAAAATATAATATATAATATTTTATTTAGATATTAATCATCATGGCTGATAAATATTTTTCGATCAAATCAATTATTATTATTCTTATTGCGTAAGAAATATTATATTTATTTCATTAGATTATATAGTAAAAATAATTTTTGTTAGATGTTTAATCGATGAAATATCGGCTCTCTCTAATTGTTCAACGACTGTTTGGGCAGTGAATGCAACAACAATTGCTGGTTCACCTGCAGGTATTGCAGGTTTCAATTCAACATTGTTAAACAGTCCAATAGGCATCACGGTTGGCAAAAATGATTCGATTTATGTCATGGATTATGGTATATCATACTATCGTATGCAACTATTTTATCCTGGTAGTCAATTAGGAATAACAATCATTAACGCCACCTTAGGCACAGGTCTTAATCAGGTCTCTTCTGGTAAATAATCTAAGATAATTGATTTATAATCAATGTTTTCTTTAATTTAGTTACCGGTCTTAGCATAGATGCGAGTGGTAATATTTATATACTTGATCTGGGAAACGATCGTGTTACAAAATGGGCACCAGGAGCATCAGCGGGTATACTTGTAGCCGGTGGTAACGGATATGGCAGTTCTCTCAACGTACTATATAGTCCTTGGGACATATTTGTTGAGCCAAATACATCCTATATTTGGATAGCTGATTCAGGCAATAATCGAATTGTCAAATGGTTGAATACATCAACTGTGATACTTGTTGCAGGTGGTTCCAATGGTTCACAAGCTAATCAATTTAATACTCCATACGGATTATTCGTTGACACATCTGATTCAAATACACTTTATGTAGCAGACTCATTAAATCATAGAATCCAAAAATGGCTTAATGGAGCAAGCAATGGAACAACAGTCGCCGGGCAGTCAGGTGTGTATGGTAGTGCACTTAATCAACTTAATTATCCGGATGCTTTGACTATGGATACGAATAAATCATTGTACATTGTGGATCATGGAAATAATCGAATCGTTTTATGGTTATTAGGATCTACATCGGGTAGAGTCATTGCTGGTACAGGTATTGCTGGAGCATTACCATCTCAACTAAATAATCCTTACTATGTCAGACTTGATTCAACTGGAGCACTTATTGTCAATGATCACAGTAACAATCGCATTCAAAGATTTCCAGTTCTTTGTTGTAAGTTTAATAAATAAATATTCAATTTAATTCGTTTTTATAAAATATATTTGAAGTGTATAGATAAATCTTACGAGAGAACGTTGCCGACTGCCCAATCAGATGTTTTTAATATAAGCTATTACTTTAGAGATTATTCACTATGTAGATTCCGAATATAAGCATCAAAAATCCCCTTAGACCTTCATTGAATAGTTTTCTAGAAAACCATTTTCAAAAATAATAATTTTTTTACTAACTGTTATTTTTACCTGGTCGTATTATGGAGCGTATTGAATTGTCTATAAAACAACAATATTAACTATTTCTGTCTTAAATCAAATCCTCGAGAAAATACAGTCATGTAAATCCATATGACGCATGCACACTATAATAACTGAATGTTGAGATAGGAAAGTTTATATTATTTTTCTTCGAGTTCTTTTTTTGCAAGATAAGAAAAATTGTCCAGTTTTAAGACAATTTGATATGCTCTATAATTTGAACAGATAAAAAATAATATTTAGTTAAAGTTTTATTATTACTGAATTTAATCTAAAAAGAAGGGAAGGTTTTTACTCATAATTTATTTTGCTTAATTATATTTTTCTTATTTTATGTCTTCTAGCACCAAATATGGCGTCCTCATCGTCATCATCAACAACATCAATTGGTACTACATCACAAAGTAAGGCAGAATACATTGATTGAAAAAAAATATCTAAATTATATGATCATGTGTTTTTTGTTATAGATACAACAATCGCTGTTCCACTTACTACTAATAATCTTACAACATCAGCAAGTAAGTAGAAAATTATTTGAAAAGAAGTAGCTAGAAATAAAAAATACAAACATCAGATATGTTAATTTTTGTCGCATATAGAATATAGGTTTTAAACATGACTTAAGTTTATATATTATACTAGGATATATTCAAGAATTGATTTTGTAATATTTATTTTAATTATAAAAGAGTAATTGTCAAATAGTTTAGAAAAACAAAACTGTTTTAACATATAAAAGTATTGCATAAAACTATAGTAATAGGATTCAGCGAAGCGTTTTTAGCAACGCACTTTAACAATATCAAATGAATAGAAAATAATATAATAATGTATTCAAAACTACAGTTAAAATTTAGAAATAATCTCTGTTTGTTTTTTGTTTTTCTAAGGATGAAATGGGAGTAGATCAGTTTCTTTTTATATTTTCAATTGAAATATTTCATTTGATAAATATATTTAGTTTTATTTCATAATCAGTTGTTTTTCATACTGTTAGCAAGATACACTCATTTTTAGTAAATCAATATCTCTATATTTCTTTTAATTGACTGAATAGATAAAATTCGGAAAGTTTGTTTTGCAGATATTTAATAGGAATGCCTTATTATCATTACTTTGTTTTCACTTTACTGTGGATCACAAGCCATACCAACCACTATCTACAACAATTATGCATCTATAGTGACTTTTATGTCTCATAATCCGCAGTAAAGCGAAGAAAAAATCAAAAAAGTAATAAAGTAATGGTAAGAAGGCACCTCTAACATTTAATTTAATATTATTATCATCAACAATGCAATGACTAGTTGTTCGATTAGCTTAACTTAAACTTAAATTGATTATAAATTCTTAAATTTTGTATAGAAACATATAGTATGAGAAAACATATGAATTACATTATCAGCTCAAATAAAAATCGGATTTAGGATCATTTAGATAAGATAGAATTCTATGAAAAACTATTTATTACAAAAATCTTATTTTCCATTCTAATATTAGATTTTATTAACTACTCGACTAAAAAGCAAATTGGAATTTATTAGTACCGAAGAGTAAAGAGAAGTAAAATTGTAATCGACATGATACACAAACCAAATAATCATAATCAAACAGTTAATTGGAAATCTTAGAATAATGTTATACGAGATTGATAATTGAAGATATTTATCATATTTAAATAGAAACTATTAAGAAGACTAATTTAAAAATATCAATTATGAAATATCTATCAAACACAACATATTGTTATTTGTTCTCTCTAATGTATCAACTATTTTTTAAACAAATATTATATTCTTTCTTTTTTCACTATTAGATAACCCAGCAACTATACTATCAGCTTCAACATCAATCGCAAATTCGGTCACAGTATCAGCCACAGTTTCAACTTCAACAGTAGTCACAACGTCACAAAAGAGTAGTACAACTAATACGATAACAAAATTATCATCAACAAGAGCTACAAGCTCTCTATCAACAAATCATTCATTTGCAACTCGTAATTTAAATTCAAAATTATTAGTATTATTATTTTATTTCATTATGATTTTTATAAACAATTAATTTTTGATTTTATTCATTCATTAACCTCTTTTTCATGCTTTCAATGTATTTATAATTCATTTGCTTTTTGTCTAGTCAATGAACTGAACCTGCTACAAATTCTATAATAATTTTATTTATTCAACTGACAATACTAAGTCTGCATTGTCTATTTGATTTTATTTGGGTAACGAGCAAAACAAACAGCCAATTCGTAACAATTTAACAGACAAATCTTTTTTTTCTTCTGAAGTTCATAAAATATATTTTGAATTTTTATGAAAAATCATTTTATTCTCATATAATTGAATTCACTGAAGTTTTTTTTGGATATTAAATATTTAATGTTGTGCATGTGAAGAGTGATTTTCCTAATAAACTATATGCTTTCTATGTATAACTGAATAGTAGAATTTATTGAATTATTTCTAAAAATTGTCAGAAACTGACAAGATATGAAACGAATAGATATGTAAAAGAACTATAGCCACATGCATATTACCAAGTAAATTGTTTTCATTGATTTGTAACTAAAATCTTTTATTTGAAATATGCGTAGGGTGGGTGTGAATATAGGACCTACACTCACAATCTCTCTCGCAAAAATAACTAGAACAGAATAAAATATTTGAAAACATTCAACATGATCAAATCGTTGCATTGATAGCTCCATCTGAACCTATTTTATTAATTGTTGAACTTTAAATTATTGTAATAACTATTTTTGTTTACAAGATGCATGATAGCTTTTGTTGTATTCATGAATCAATTTTTCATTATGATCTAAAATGATTAAAAATTTGGCAATAACAAATTTGAGAATAAAGAGAATATAGTGTATGTTGGAAATAAAGTCAAGGCATCAATAAAAATCTTTTTTTGATAGTTGCTTTTTTTCTTTCTTATTTGTGTCGACAATCCACAAATATTGAATCGGCCTGGTTTTTCTCCTGTTACTTGATGAATATTGAAATTACGTCCTGGTTTTGAAACTGGGTGTGGGTGGGACAGGCATCATATACTTATACGTCCGTCAACATTTATACACACTTACACCCTAGTGAATTTTTTTCATTGTTTTGCATCTTTAAAAATATAAATTTCTCGTTTACAATTATCTAATATTTGTTTTTCTTGCTAAATTAATAAAATATATTTAATCGATGAAAAGATCCTACTAATCAATATTTTTTCTTAATCAGAAATCAATAGATACTATGCTAAACAACTTGTTTCTTTTCGTAATTATTCACGTTATATAAAAACACTTCTGAACATTCTTCCTTGTATATATCTGTCTATAAACTATACAAAAAATCAGCTATTGTTCTATCTGAAATAAATATTCTGCGTAATTTCTTGATTACATGTAAACAACTTCAATTTTTTTCATGCGAGACCTTGAATTTAATAATTTCTGTCTTCAGTATATATTTTTCTCATTAAACTGAAGTATTTTATTATTATATTTGTATTGAGAATAATTATTTTCCTCTTTGAACAAGGACAAATTTTTCACACAACAACAAAATACTTTCATATTTATTATAAAAGTACTTTTACTGATCGATACTTTTATTTCTCACAAATCTGTGTTATCCTGTCAAGTATTTTTTTATATAAATTATGCGAAAGATTAATACATTACGATCATCGTCATCCTAAAATACATAAAAACTAATTTTAAAATGTAAAACTTGAGTTTTATATATGTATACAATTCGAATAAATCTAGGCCAAATGAAGCTTGTTAGCAGAGGTAATACCTGATCTCGTCAAACATGTGTTTTTGTAATTGATAAAGTTCCTCTATGAAGATGGGACGTGTTAGTTACAAGTTTGACATTTTAAAGTTCGATGTTCTTAAAATATTTTTTCTATTTTTATTCTCTTCTTTTAGAAACTAAATAATAAAACTATTTCACAAGTAATCTTCTTATCAAGTTTGTATATCCGTTCACTTCAAATCTTAAAAAAAAGTTATTCATTAAATATGAAATTGCGCATTTGTTAATAATTGAAATCTAATTTGAAAAAAAACAATTAACATGATATGATATATTTTATATTTCATTACCTTTCTTTTAATACGTCAGAAAAGAAATACATCTCTAAGGAAACAGAAAGCTGAAAAATATAATTTAAAGTCATTTCAACGAATCAAAATAGACCTTGTCCTCAGAAAAAAATTCTTTTTTCTATTTTCTATTTTTAATAAACACTCTCTAGCGAGATGTATAAAAAGAATACGATAGTTAAGTTATTTGTTGTCAGTTTGAAAAAAACAGGCTCTCTTTGAACGATAACATTTAACGACACGAATAGTTTTTTGGTATGTATTAGTTTCTTCTGCAAGGACATCACTGTTTCATCGTAATCCAAGTAGATACTGATAACTTTTTCCAAAAACTGAAAAAAAAGAAGATATTATATATATATATATATATCAGGAGACTGAGTATTGTATTCCTTAGTTATTCATCGGATACATACGCACACTCATGCGATCATCTAAACTTAACTGATATAACATTTGTACTATTTACGAAAGTTTTTCTAAATTTTATTCAATTATCATATGGTATAATCATATACTAACACATAGTTTGTTTGATACCAATTTTAGTTTATTACTCATCGATAAAATCGCGCCTTTTATTGGACACCGTGGCATTGATATTCTCATTGAATAATAAATAGTATGTATATTTTCTTTTTTGTTTCTTTTCTATAGAAATATAAATCCATTGAACTTCTCTTTATTTACGAGACATGCATCTTGAGAGTATGGGTGTGGGTGTGGATTTAGGGACTGAGAGCACTAGGGGACTAAGGGACTACGAGGACTAAGCAGTTAAGGAGACTAGGCGACTGAGAGTGTACGTGTCGGTCTAGACTTAGGGGACTAAGGATGTGGGTTTGGGTTTAGGTATCGGTTTGGTTGTGGACTAAGAGGACAGAAGTATCAAACTTGAACGTTGAATTCAATTATGCCAGTTATCCAACTGTCGATCGACCCAGCTATTTCCACTATTCAATTATTTCAAGTTTTTAATTGTTCCACTGTGTACACATCGATGCCCACGGATCGTAGCACTTCGGGTGACGCCGTGGACCCCCACGCCGCGACGCTGATATAAAAGATGTGTTTTCCGAGGGTATCAGATCCTCGCCTATATGGGTCAAATCGTGGAAACTAATATTTCTTTGTTTGTCATTGATTAATAGATGAATAACACTTAGAAGAAAATTGTATCTCCGTCGTTTTTATAATAACTGAAATAATTGAATAGTTGGATTCAGCTTTCAAGTTTGATACTACTGTTTTAGATCCCATAGCTCACACTCAAATTCATCCCTACACCCACATTCACACCCCTTATAGTCTCTAGTCTCCTCATTTCAGTTTGAAATCGACTCTATTTTATTTTTATAAATTCAGTTTGGAATTAAATATGCCATTGTATGTTATTTCAACAAGGCATTTGAAAGTTATAACAACGATAGTTTTTAAATCGTCACTCTACAACATAAGTATATGAACCCACTTCCAAAAATTTCTTGTATTTTTTCTGGAATAAAGCAACTTATTGACGACTTTTTCCCATCAGTTTGTTAGTTGAAGAGTTCTTTTCTTTCCGCAAATCTATATAATGCCAGATCGTTCAACATGAGGGCTGAAATCATATTGTTGTCACTACACAAAAAATACAAATGTCTGTGAAACATTATGAACATTTGGCATCAAAAAAGATATACGATTGAACTTCAACCCAACTATATATTTTAATAGAGTGTCGAAAGTCCTATAAAATGCAGTATTTATATTCTTTTCTTTTTACAACATTATAGACAGAAACTTCCCTTTTCTTTACATATGTGAGCGATAACTAATATTTCCTTGTAGTATATTCCTTATAAGTCACCATCTGTAATTTATCCACTAGGTGGATCGGATAGAGGATCCCCGCCTGATATTTCGATTTTCATACATAAAAATTTACAGTTTGGCTATATGATAAAAGATATTTCAACCGTTCACTTGAAAAATAAAACTTAAATGAAATAGTGCAAGTTGGCGCACTCTTTTCATGCTATAGTCTCTATATGAAGAGCACTACTACTTACATGTGTTATTTATTTAATTCTAGATTATTAATCACCTATATCTACCTACAGTCTGCAACCTACAGTATATAAAATCAATTAACATTTGAAACCCAATTATTAGTCACATTCCGCTTGTAACTAAGCGTTGTGTGAAGTAGATTTATTCTCACAATGGAGAGTATGTATTTTATTCTATTCTCTTATCTTTATATATAAAAGTCCATATTCACAACGTTTCTGTTTCATATTGCAGTTTAACTTTGGGTATACTTGTGATTATTTATGTGCTTCCAAAATGACATCCTAGTCAACGTTAGTCCTACACGTCCGTCATAAATCAACATAGTTGATCAATGTGTCCTATCACGACAATACACCGTTTTTTTCCTATATGTCAGACGATGTGCCTATAAGAGTTAGTTGGCTATTAAACCAAAATACATACCAAACTTATTTTCTGATAGCTATTTTATTTATAAATAAAATACGAATATTATATATGCTCTGTATTTTTCAAGCATAATATCGCATCTCTAAACATGATAAACATAAGAAACACACTTATAAACTATTCCGTAACTTAGTTTTCAAAGATTTTTATAGAAAGCTATAAAAAAAATCTTTCAGGTACCAAGGATCCATAACTATATCTTTTTTATGTCGTGTTTTAGTAGCAGAAAGTCCCAATCTTCCGTCCAGCTTATGGCAAAAGACTCGATTTTTTCTTCAAAACTTTAACTTGTTTCCATCACAGCCACCCTCGACTGGTGAACATCAACTTCGGAATCAAAAAATATCAACAAGATTATTCATCATTCTATTAACCATATCGTTGCTCATACTTATTTTATATACTTCATTGATAAACGTCACAAAAACTGTCAACATTCATGCACCTACTATCACACAATATTCACAGTTATACTCAACATATCCACAAACGTTGACATGTCCATGCACAAAAATATCAATTAGTTATGATAAGTTTCTTCATTTTCAATACACATTTCATCCAGTCTGCAATAGTGTTTTTGTCACCCAACAGTGGTTTGATTATCTGCCGTCATCTCTTCAAAATATTATCTACTACAACACTGATTTTCGAGCAACAGGCTCATCTACATTTCAGGCATTGAATGCATTTTGTGAATTAGTCAATCAGACAATATTCAATCGTTTACTTCAGTTCTATGCAAGTGATTATATCAGTGCATCTGCCATACCTTCACACATATTTCAAGTACAAACCGAGTCCTTAATCTCTGACTTCAAACAAACAATGATTAGTGAATTTACCTTATCACTTTCAACAATAAGAAAAACAACTCAAAGTAATGCTTTATTCTCTGGAGAACTGACTAATTATTATCTTTATCAATCAAGCAGTAGTATCTATACAATTTCATATCCATCTTTTTATGATAATTGTAGCTGTGGTTCTTCAGCTACATGCACATTTCAATCAAGGATTCTGGACTATTATAGCGGTACATTATATTTATATGTACCAGGTATTTATATTGGATGTTATATTATTGAGTCATTACTTCAATCTGACCTACGATGCTTTTATAATCAGAGTTGTATAGATGAATTACAGCCATTTTTAGCATCATCTACACGAATGAATGTATCAGCACTTGATAAATCATTGTTAGTTCAATTTGTGGAAAACTCGACAATTCAAGAGGTGATGGATGAATTAATGATTGAAACATGGAACTCATCAATAATGTATGATAGTTATTATGATGAATGTCAACCATCACAATGTATTTATACTGTTGAGACAAAGAATGGTGCAATATATATTATCACAACATTAATTGGACTAGTTGGTGGTTTGATAACAGTTTTGAAACTGATTGTGCCACGCCTTGTCAAGTTCGTTAGAAGAAAAAAACAATTGATAAATCTAGAAACTGGTAAGATATGAAAATAGTTTATACATTATTATTTAGAAAATATTTTTATGGTCGATTCACATAGTTTAGAGATATTGCAGAGAAAGATACGGCGATTATCGTTCTAGTCCAAAATCATTAAATCATAGAACTCGACAAAGACATATGAGGAGTAATTTTTCGCATAGATCTATGTGTGCACAAGTAGAGTTCACGGTTCACCTGTCCCAAAAATAAGTTTTCTGTTAGTGGATAAAATGTGGATGTTTTAGTCTTGTTTTGAAGTTCTTTAGTTAAACTGTTTATAACTTTATTCGCTTTATCATTTGAACAGTGTGTAGTGACTAGAAAATTGGATTGAGGTAATGCATGATGTTTATGTATACCGCATAGCCAGGGGTGGCGCGAGCCAGCCAACATTGAGGGGGAGGTGTAGCGAAATTCTTTTGAATCTCTGGAGAGTGTAGTCTCATCTTTGCTAAAAAACCTAAGAAGATTTGTTGATTTTATTGAGGAAAAAATAGAAATTTCGGAAGATTGGGGGGGGGGGGGTGTTACGACCCCGACATCCGCCGGTCGCGCCACCCCTGCGCATAGCTGAGCTTTTCATTGGAGAGAGCTCTTAAGATAGTGTCTCGTTTACGTACATTATTTTAACTTTTACTATTGAACCTACAGCTCGATAAGTTACAGTAAAAGTATCAGCTGGAGAAACAGCTTTGAATTCCTTGAGATTCGTCAATTCATGAATAAGACTGTTTTTTTTATTGAACAAGTAACGCGACGCAAACGTCGCTAAGCCCTCTACTGAAAGGATATGAACAGATCCGTCACCATGCATAAGATAAGATAAATATTTGTTTTAGTTCATTAGTCGAGCCACTTCTCAAAAAGTCTTTCACTGTGACTCATTTTACTTCCTCTAAGCTCTCATACTAACGTCTAGTCGTTCGTCGGCCTCCCTTTGGTCGGCACTCACGACAAGCCGTCGACATGCATTGTCTATTTTTCTTTTTTCTCAACAGTCAGATGAGCATTTTTATACATAAAAAAACTAAGTCACACATATAGGATGGATTCATAACTAAAGACTTCTAGAATTTACATAATAGCGTGTAGCTTCCAGTATAGATTTCAAGCTCTCCTTTCTTTTCAGGGAAATCATAACCTGATCGATTCACTTTCGAAGGGATATCAGTTAAGTTCCTGCGAAAAACCGTTCAGACTACTTGAGAACTTTCAAGTCTATATATAGTATTAACTTTTCGAATTGACGTCTAGCCGTTCGTTGGCCTCCCTCCGGTCGGCCACTCACAACTAGTCGTTTCTATGAACATCTCTATTATATCCTTCACTTCACATTCACTTTCAATGGATATAAATGGGTTTCCTTTCGTTCTCACTCCAAAACGCGGTGAGTTTCTGGTAATACGATTCCTAATAAGAAACTAAAAAGAGGAAGTAGTTTTATGAACTGCTACGATTAGAAGATATTCGTCTAGCATAGTCCTTCACATATTTGGAATGTTAGTTATATATCTGATGCGGATGAAGATCCAACACCAGGGTCGCAATCAGATACCTCGCTTTTATTCACGTATTTCTGCTAAAATTCTATCGAAAGATATGACGTGTGTTAGTCAAGAACGGAAAAACCTTCAATTAAAACTGATACTGAATTAATAACTTTTTCTTCCGATTACTTCGACTAAAGTTTCTATAATTTAATCACTACTAAATCTTATAAATTTTCAAAAAATCAACATCGGATTCATGTTCCTCCATCCCGATAACTTTTGAGTAAACTTAATAAAGAAAAATTTCTTTTGTAAAAAAAGTGGTCCTTTGCGTAAAAAAATTGATCCGTAAAAAAATTTTAAAAAACTAACACCAGATTCGAGTTTCCCGACCCCGATAACCCTTCGGTCAACCCTTATAAAAAAACAGGATAAGATATTTTAATTAACCAATCAGATTAAACGAACGAACACACGAACGAACGAACACACACACGGACGAACATCAACTCGTTTTTTTCTGACATCTGCTCGACGCATAACCCTCCTTTCAGTAGAGGGAATAAAATATTGTCATTTATCTGCATTGAATCCGGCTATTTATATTACCTTCATCTACAAATATGTCTTAATCCAATAAAATGATTTTATGAAATGCCAAAAGACGAACCGTAACCACCTTTCCCCATAAAATATTATTCAAATCTCATGAGTATGTATTTCCTATGCACACCATCAATCGTCAATACAAAGAGCACTATCTGCCAGAAATTAAAACATAAATGATTCTTATATTTAAAGATGAATGACTTTATTCGATACTATGTATCACTCAACTTTGTCCACATTTTGCTTAGATAAATTAAAATACAATGTGTTGCAGCTTCACCATCTCTAGAACGGAACCGGAAAAAATGTTACACCCACGATATTTCCTTTTTACCATTTATGATACTGCGAAATATTCGAAATTCATTGAAACAAAACATGAAAAAAGTTTGTACCCATGTTCAGCGTTTTTTATTAGCATATTGTAAAGTGTGCAATAGGATACTATGTTTTTATGTAAAAAACGGAACATCTAGTGAAATGTAGACATGTGTATAGTTTCTGCTAGTAATTGTGAAGTTTATTTTATCTTATTTGTTCGTCAACTTCTTAACACATTTATTTTTATTCAAGATATCCCCGAACAACAGGAAAGATATTACATGATTCAGAGAGTCAAGAATTACATCCAAACATTTAATACATTTCCATCGATTCCATCCTCCACCGATGAACATCAACTTCGGAATCAAAAAATATCAACAAGATTATTCATCATTCTATTAACCATATCGTTGCTCATACTTATTTTATATACTTCATTGATAAACGTCACAAAAACTGTCAACATTCATGCACCTACTATCACACAATATTCACAGTTATACTCAACATATCCACAAACGTTGACATGTCCATGCACAAAAATATCAATTAGTTATGATAAGTTTCTTCATTTTCAATACACATTTCATCCAGTCTGCAATAGTGTTTTTGTCACCCAACAGTGGTTTGATTATCTTTACGCATCCCATCCAAATACTGTTGTATTCACTATTGATTTTCGAGCAACAGGCTCATCTACATTTCAGGCATTGAATGCATTTTGTGAATTAGTCAATCAGACAATATTCAATCGTTTAGCTCAGTTCTATACAAGTAGCTATATCAGTGCATCTGCCATACCTTCACACATATTTCAAGTACAAACTGAGTCCTTAATCTCTGACTTCAAACAAACAATGATTAGTGAATTTAC